CTAGAAGAAGCCCCTCGCCCCCACCTCCCCTCCGTCTGCCTGCACACGGCCCTGCTGGCTCTGCCCTCAACAGCTGTGGCCCCGGAATTCTCCGGTGCGCGGGCGCTTTGATCTGCAGCACACCTGGCGATCAGGGCCTCACGTTCATCCAGCCACAGTCATATGGGTCCCACACACTCTGTGGGCTTCCCCAGCCAGAGGGAAGGGGGGCTGGAGCTCCCCGGGTGGAGACTGGAGCCCGACAACCACTAGCCCCCACCCCCCACCCCTCTGCAACTCCAGGCTTCCGGCTCCCCTCATTCCGTGGCCAAATGTCAGTTCATGGCCTCTGCACCCCAAATGCTTCCCAGCCCCTCCAAGAGACCTGTGCCCATGTCTGCAGTGCCATACGGTGCCCGGCACGCTGCCTTCTCTTTGTTCCTACAAAGGTGTGGGCGTCACCAGCTTTACTTAATGTCAGTACAAGGGAGGGTGCTGGCCCAGAGCCTCTCCAAACCACCCAGGAGAGTGTGGGCAAGGCCCCGCGTCCCGTAGGACCATAGAACGCCCACATCTTGGCTTTTGTGAGACTCAGGTGCGAGGAGGCAGCGGCTGTGAGCCCCAGGGCACCTGGAACTTGGTGAGTCCCCCAGAAACTCCAGGCGTTTGTGTCGGGATGTCCTCGCCAGCAGTCGGAGTTTCCCAAGCCCTACTGGAGCGGGAGTGGTTAAGTCACAGACAGAGGCTCCACAGCTGAAGGGGAGCAGTGGCTCCCGGCTCATCTTCCTCCTCCAAGAACAGGAGCTGGGGGGCCATCCCTCCACACCCCAGGGTCTTGGGTTCCCTAGTCCCTCATGTGGGACCCACAAGAGTGAAGGGGAATGGACAGGCCTACTTCTCCCCCACTTATTTCACACATGGGGTGTCTAGTTTTCTTGAAGGGCTTCAAGTGGCCAGGAGCCTGGGGTCCCTGGGCCCGAAGATCTCAGAGGTCCTTTCTAGTCCAAACTCCTGTCCTACCAAGTCCTGGCAGCTGGACACATGAAGACAGGCCAGGGGCCTCTGGGCTGAGTGGGGGACCCAGAGGAAGGTGCTGTGGAGGCATCCAACAGCTTCGGGGTGAGCCCCTGAGGGGCAGGTGGGACAGGACCCCAAGCCCTGCACAGCACAGTGGGTCACAGGAAGGGCAGGCCCGGTGTGTTTGCAGAGGAATCCAAAGTGAGGGGAATGGAAGTGAGGAGACGATGGTCACAGAGAGGAAGCTGCTGTGACACACGCTTCACAGGAAGCCAAGGACTGTCCAGGGGCTGAGGCCCAGTTAGGTCCGCCCCACCGCAGCAGCCAGACCGAACCTGCAGCTGGGGGCGGTCACCAAGCACTCCTCTCAGGAATGAATGACCGAGAGATGCCCTGGTGCCTTTGGAAAATTGGGAGAAGCTGGGTAACCCGAATTAGCCCTTTATTCACCGCCCCCATCCCAGGATGCAAGGCGGGGCGACAGCGCAGTAACCTGGCCAGGTGATGCATGGCCTGCACACAGGCTGCCCGGAGGAGCCAGCCCCGCCCTCAGCGCCGAACATGGACGCATCCTCCTCAAACAACCAGGTGCCCTTCACAGGAGACGGGACGCTGGTCAGCACTGAGAACTGCCAAGTGAGCAGCAGCAGGGGACAGCCTGGCGACACACCGTGAAGCAGGAGCAGCCAGCCCAGGCACCCCATTCATGAAAGGTTCTTTGTGGAGAGCGGCTACAGCGTTCGGACAGGTTCAAGCCTGGGACTAATGAGAGCGTATGATCCTCTCGTGGCAAAGCCACGTGCAAGTCCCAGCACAATTAGAGCCAAAGGCTGTGGTCGTAAGCGTCACCTTATGGTCCGAACCTGTGGTCCCACGTGGCTGAGTGACGTGGGCGGCGGGAGGTGCAGCAAGTAAACAAAGCTTGATCAGGTGCGTGTAATTGAGTAGGTTCCAAACCCAAGAGAACGTTATGACCATCTTAATCACGCCCTCACTTTGCTAAAGACTCGGCTTGCAGGCGCAGGCCGTGGCACTGTCTCTCTCCATCAGAGAGGGCAGCGTCCCACCCAGACCCAGCTTTCTTCTCTTGTCTGTCTTTTCTTAATCCCTCACCCCCCGCTCTCAGGCTCCCCGGACCTGGCTGTGCTGGCGGGGCACACTCAGCAGCAAGAACCAAGAGGATCTCAATTACACGGCGACAAGGAGATGAAAGTGGGTAAAGGCAAGCTGCACGTCGAAGATGCGTGCTGCTGCGTCCTCCCATCTGCAAACACCAGGCACCATCATTCGTTCTAAGGGGCACTTGAGCTTTGACAAAAAGCAAAATGGAGATCTCTCCAGCTGAGGTTCTCCCCTCACCCCATGGCCTATGTGCAGAGAGGGAGGCCTGGGAATCACAGTGGGCCCTGGAGGGGTGCCCGGCACCTGCAGGGGACACTGGGTCTGCAGGGCCAACCACAGCCCATCACCCCTGCAGGCCTCCCAGGACAAGGAAGGGTGTGGGTGCATTTATGGTGCAAATTCCAAACAGGCTGCCCTCAGAGGGACCTCTGCACAGGGGAGCGGGGTTGGACAGGTGTCCATAGGATGGTGTCCCGGGCTTTCCTTAGGAGTGCATCCCTGAAGCGGTGTCCACCGAACCTGCTGGACACTTGAGCAGAGGCTGCAAGAGTCTTCACACCCTTGGAGGCTTTGGGGGGCTCTGGCTCCAGAGCTCACCCCTCAGCAGCCTTGGTCACTTCCTAGACCACTTCATGGCACCAGTTTCTGCAATCCAATTTCTAAACCCTTGGTCACTTCACCCTTCCCACCCCCACCCCCAGGGCAAACACATCTGGGCAGAAAGCATCCAGTTCAGGGCAGACCTGAGGAAATGCCTGGCCGTGCCCTCAGAGAGATGGGATCAGGCTGCCATTGCCCGTGGCAGCGATGTTCACAAACACCAGGACAAAACCCCAACCACTTGCATTTCCCGTTCACTGTGTGTCCAAGCGAGCAGCCTTGACATTGACTGGCTGTCAGCTTTTCCTGCCTGGACGCAGGAAGGGAGGGATCAAAGGGTTCCTCTGGCCCATCCCTGGTGTTGAGTTAACGGGGAGAGGTCCCTCACCACCTGGCCTGGGAAAAATGCTTCACAGACAGGTTTCAAGATGACTCATGACCACTGTCATTGTGCCCCCTGTCCAGGTCACTCCGTGGGGACACTCGCTGTGAATAGAGTCAATAAACAGGGGAAGCGCAGGCCGGGCCGGGCCAGCCAGGGGAAATGCGAGGAGAGCAGATCTGCCTGTTTTTTCTTTCCTCCATCAGAGTCAGGCTTCTCCCTTGCCAATCCCCGGTGACAGTGCTCTGTCATGACCGTCATCCCCAGCTTCCCTGGAAAAGCACACAGAACCGGCACCGGTCCTGACAACAGGACCTGGGCGTGGATCCAAGTCCTAGAAGAGGGACAACTGCCCGGGCGAGGAGTTTAAGTAAAAAGGCCGGATGCACACCTGGGGCTGGGCGGAGCCCTGGTACCCACAGCCTGGGGGTGAAGCTGCCAGGTCCCAGCGGGAAAGGGGCGCGCGGCAGGGTCGGGGGAACGCCGGGAGGGGGCAGTAAGAGCCAACCCGACCCGGCCTGACGCCAAGGGGGCGGGGAGAGGACGGAGAGAGGCGGGGCCGGGAAGGGGCTCCACAAAGGGGCTCAAAGGGCACTGCAGGGACCCCCGGCTCCGCCCAAGGCCCGACCTGCGGCCGTCGGGAACTAGAGCTGGGCAGACCCTCAAGTCCCTGACTCCAACGGATTCGCTGTCCCCGAGATCCCCCGCGCGACCGAGCTGTTCTCAAATAAATGGACACGCAGGCAGCTTCCAAAAGAGGCGAAACCGTTTATCAAGTCGCTGAAGGCGCGGTATCTACAGTATCTACAAATATCTACACGTATCTACACCGCCTGCAGACAGGGCTCCCGGGTCGTCTACACGGCAGCTGCCGGCCGGGCAGGCGACGCGGTCTCGCGGAGAACAATAAATATCACTTCCTTCCGCGCTGATAGGATATGCATAATATTGCCCTTTTCACAAATATGTTTCAAACTTTAACTATGATGGCAATTCTGTAAACAATAAGGAGTATCAAAATAGATTCTCTACCATATGCCAATATATTCTACAATTACTGTCATGAAAATCTCTCCTGTTCCTATGTTATCACTGCACTGCATAAAATGCAATTGCCTTGTGAAAACTAGATTACTACAATTATTATGAAGACAACAAGGGAAATTAACTTCAAAAGAAACCATATAGACATTTCAGACTTCTTAAAATACATGTCTACAATAATGACTTATAGAACAAAAAATGTAAGCAATTCATCTTTGAAAAGGCTCTTCAGTAATTTGGTTTGACTATTAAAGAGACTCAAAATATTAGGGTCCTTTAATGTCCAAACATTGGTAGTGCTTATACATTTGCCATTTTTACTTTTCAGTACATGGTACCTTCAATTTTTACCTTGTCAAATCTATAATTTTTTTCTTTGATACTTTCATTCATTATTTTTAGTTAGGAATTCACCCAGAAATCATTTGTACACCCATATATGCTTCCTCTCATTTTATACTTTCATATAATATAGACATTTATAGAAGCTCTGGATTTTTTATATATGAACAAGGGAAGAATCTCATTTTATTTATTTCTCCAGTAAACCAAATGTCCCTACAATATTATTTAATGCATTAGTGTTTTTAGGTTAGTGAAGAAAAAATACAAGTTACAAATTAAAAGAGCTTAAAGAAGAGTTGAGAGAATCCCATTTTGGTTGTGGAGAGGTAGGAAAAGGAGAAGAGATGATGTAGAATCAACATACACTTGACTGAAGCAGAAAGAGGATAAAGAAAGAAGAGCAGCAACAGGCAGCTGGCAATGAACCATATTCAGGAATAGATACTTTTTCTCTTCTGAAATTTTACCTGGGCCAGCCTAAGGAGGAGGCTGGCAATTAGTCTTATTACTGGTCTGACTCACCAGTCTTCGGGGTCGCAGTCTCGGAAGCCTTTGGCGAAAGGGTTGCTGGCGATCTTGAGCTGCGTGATCTGCGGGGAAGAGGGCGCGCACTGAGCCAGCGCCGGAGCCCTGCGCAGGGGGCTGTTGCACCTCCGCGGAGAATTGGGGCGTGTTGGGGAGCATTGAGAGGGGCTGCTCTGGAACGGGCTCCCCTCCTCTCCGCGGACTGAACCGGCCCGCAGCCGCCCCTCCCCCACGGGGGCTGTGCCTCTCTCCTGCTGCGGGATGTCTGCGGAGCCTCCCTTCTTGGAAAGGAACCCCTTTGGGGACCCCAAGCGGTTGGGATGGAGACCCTACGCCCCTGGCTGAGATGGGAATGTGGTCACCTCCACCCCCACCGCGCAGTGGAGAAGAGCGAAGGGGCGCCCTAGGAATCTGGGTAAACCTCAGATCTGGCCCCTGATGGGGAGTTTCCGGAATGGTTTGGAAAACAAACTTTCAGGCCGCATTGACAGTTGCTGCTTGAAAGGTCAACCTGATAGGCGGCTGGGACGTCCTGCAGCCGAGGGGAGGGGGCGCTTGAGGCCCCTGGGGGTGGGGCTGCACGCTGGTTTTGTCCCACTGGGGGCCGTCATCTGCAGGTCCAAACCTTCAGTTCCCAGGCAGGGGCTGAAAATGTCACCCCACCCCAGAAGTGCCGAAGGTGGGGGGTCCGCAGGCCTCGCTCACCCTGTGGTTCTGGTAGGCAGTGACGGCCGTGAAGCGCGTCTCCTCGAACACAAAGGTTTTGAAGTTCTCCTCCGCGTATTTCTCACTATCTTTGCGCGGGTCCACGTAGACCACATGGAAGCGGGGCTGGTATCTGTGCATGGAGTTGAGAATAATCTGGAAGACAAGGTGGCGAGGCAGGAGCTAGGAAATCGGCCAAGATCTTAACAGGCAGCGAACATCCCAGGGAACTCGGGCAAAACCCTTATCTCCCCAAATGAGGCCTGGCCAGGGGGACCCAAGTGGACACTGTGCCCGACTAGGGGCCACCAGGAAAAACGCTCCTCCGAGTGGCAAAAGATGGAGGCTTGGATTCTCTTTCCTTATGTCCTCAAGAACTACTGCGACTCCCATCGCCAGCCGGGATTCCAAAAAGCTTCCTGCACCTACCCCCACACCCGGCACCATCCTTTCCAGTTAAAAATCTCCCACAAAAGATGAGGAACCCTCTCCCAGGCCTGTGAGCCCCTGACCAAAGGGCTGCTCTCTGCAGCCTGTCCCTCATCCACACCCCAAGCTGCCCAAGCTCTGCCTCTGGTGTGCAGGGACTGGGGAGGGCCTGCAGGGGTGGGGACCCCGTGGTAGCCTGGGGAGGGGGGTCGCTCACGTGGCCGTTGTCATCCAGCAGGTTGTTGGTCAGTTTGAGCTTGTCGAAGGACACAATTTGCTTCATCCACTGTGCGCCCTTGGCAGGCGAGTCAGGGTGGTAGTGCACTCGGCCTGGAGTGGCGGGGTCTGCCTTCCCGGCCACCAGCCAGGAGGAGCTGTGGAAGGCGTACCTGGGACGGCACCAGAGCACGGGTCACGTCATGTGGGGGCGAACTGAGAGGGCCTTGCTGACTGAACCCCGAAAGTGCCTCTGATGAGTCTCCCCATCGGTGAAGCTTTGGCTGCCACACGGGCTGGGAGCTTTTCCGAGGGGAATTGTAGAGAAAACAGAAA